AAAGTTCTGGGTCACATCAAGCTTTGTTCAATCAAATTTCACTGATTCAGTGGGATTGCTGCTTTTACCTCCAACCCTGTGGCCWGCAGAACTGGGCTCCGATATGTTCTCTCTTTCTATACAAACATGAAATGAGTGGAAATGTTCCCAGAATAGGAATTTGAAAGGAACATGAGAGAAAGAATTCACTAACAGCAAAACTTTTAGGAATCACAGGTTTAAATGTAGATAGCGCTAAYTCAATCCTTTGCAAAGATAGCTAGAAGGGAGAACAGATGAGCTAAAAGTCATTCCATAAATTCAGGGAAGGCAATGTCACTTAAAATGACAAAGAAGAAAGAGGGGACAATCGAGGGAAGGGCTGTTGGGTTTGGAAAAGGTTCTACCATGTTGATGATGACAACTTCATCCCTACTGAGAAACTAGAAAGACAGCCAGTCAGGACAGTTTTAGAAAATCTCTAAGATCAAGAAGCTCTTAAAATTATTGCTGAAACACTCAATCTCACCAGCCTGGACCACCACTAGCATATAAGTATTGCATAAACAAATTACTATTACTATTGCTCAAAATTAGTAATGGGAACCCAGGGCATGCAGTGTTGCACCACAGCCCTTTTATTTTTTCATTTCCATTTTCATCAAATACAACAATACATGTGGCCCAGGCAAAGGTACCAAAAAAAAACCCCTAGTTTTCACTCAAAAGGGACAAGAGTCCCTAAGGGAAAAGAAACCTAGTTAGATGTTCAAGGATATCAGTCTCAAATCTCCCATAATTTCAGCTGAAAATGCTTGTATCCAAGAAGTCTAAAACTCACATCTTACAGGGTATGTAAATCTGCCTAGGAAGCGTAGCAGCCTTCACCTAAACTGTTTGCAAGGARCAGTCTGCAAAGTAAGATCTCAAAGTAACTTAATTTGAGCAAGAAAAGAAAACAAAATCTTTTCCACGGTAATTTCCATATTGYTAGATTTACTATAAGACTGCAAATTAAGATGCCACCTGCACTAACTATCCTAAGTCTCTTAGTCCGCCTTGAACTTCCTGCTTTAGCAAACAGCTGCATGTAGTGGAGGACATATGTACAAATCTCTGCTGCCTCTCTGTGTTATTGTGTCAGCTATTCTCCATGTCTTTGAAGGTGCTCCAAAATCAGCATGGCTCTGCGTTTTTTTTTTCTCCTCTTCTTTTAGGAGGAGGAAGCAGCACAGAATAACAGGCTGTCAGGAAAGGGCTAAGTCTGTGTTTGCTGTGCTCTTAGCAGTGAAGCCAAGATTGTTTAAAATCAGTTTATATAGGCTCTTCTGTAAGGATAAAAACCACTGCTGGTGGTTAAATATGCAAAAGGTTTTGATTGTAACGGCTTGACAAGCAGCCAAAGATATGACTGGGGGGAAGACCACAACAAAACAGCTATGACCAGAATGGAGAAAACAAGGAAAACACATGGCTTGACTTCAGAGCAGAAAATATCACTTAGGCTTTGCATAAACGACAGCATACCTCCAAGCTTGCTTGATCCACAGTCTGCCTGGAATGAGAGCACGCAATCTAAAAGCAGAGCCTATTAAAAGGCATAATGTTTCTAAACGGCATCTGTTACGTACTAATAAGCATTACTTAAAGGACACAGGCCTTAAATTGCTACCAAACGTGCATTTATCTGAAACTGCTGCAAGGCAATCGTTACAAAAGTGTCACATGATACCATGGGAATCTGAATAATATAAAATGTTTTTATTTAGTTTGGCTTAGAGTTATTATGCAGGAAAAATATGGAAGCACTTTCTGAGATTCTGAAACTGTGGAACGTCACAGGAATGAAAGACTAGCAAGAATGACATCAGCGGAGACATTTGCCATCTGTTGTCAGTAATACTGTGAAGACCAGTCACCAGACAGCAGTTTCAAAGGTTACAAACACAACATTTTTGAATATCCATGGACCTCTCACTAACTGAGCAGAATAGAGTTTGCTTTGGATGTGTGTGACCTGAAGCTCTGCCAATTGTTTTGCAACATACAGCTGTGAATCGCCCCTAGCCCTGCTTGTGACTGTCTTGTTTTGCCACCATTATACAGTGTGGGAAATACATGCCAGCCTGTTCTATACAGGTTCTTATACCACACTCATATCCATGATGTCTGCACACCTTCCATGTGAAAAAGGAAACAATAAGGTAACATTTCTCTCGGGTTTTTCCTCATGCTTCCACCCAAGGGAAGGAGCGTGTTCCCTGCAATGCTTCTTTATGCAAAGGGACTCAGCTTGTTTACTGGGTTTTGCAGTGTCTTTTTTCCTTTGAGGGGAGTAGCTTAAAAGAGCTAGGATTTTGTTTCCTGCTTTCTTAAATAAATATGTATTTTTGCTCTAAAGAAAATAAGGTTACAGTAACTTGCTTTGCATATGGCAAGTGTGCCCCGTGCTCTAGGTGACCCTCCGTGAGCAGGGGGGTTGGACTAGATGACCTCTGAAGTCCCTTCCAACCTTAAGCATTCTATGATTCTATGATTCTAAGTGAGGTTATCAGAGTTTTAGTTTTCAGAGGCGTATGCTCCTCAYTAAGCAAAATTCTACCTGCCATATAAATAATTTTACTTATAATGAAGGCATATAGCTCTTGATCGGTCTCATCCTGGAGCTCTGATGAGTCTTTTCTACAYGCTGGAGACATACCATGTTATATAAAACATTTATATAATCGATGCTACCAGAAGGTTGAGTTCCTACCTAGAGTGCTGCAGATCTCGTGCTTCTAAGCTCAGTTGACTAAAGTGGCTTTCACAGGGAGGCAGGTTTCCTGCAGAAGCAGATGGAAATTTAAGGCTCCATTACTGCAATTGTTAAACTAGACATACAGGTTTGTCATCTGGTAACTAATTATTTCTCAGGCTCCAGAGTCTCCTAAGTGCTGTACATCATTTAAATGTTCTCCCTAGCCTTGCTGCTAGATGGTGAACATGTACAAATCCAACTCAGAGAACGCTCCAAAACCAAAAAACCCTTGTGAAAAGGCTGGATTTAAAATGAGAACCCCAAGTTCTAGGCCAGTGGCTGGGCTGCTTCTCAACAGCAGTTTGCCTTGGAGCTGTACAGGAGCTTAGAAACCCTGTAAGAAGAGTAAACAATCTTGCTTCATGAAAGACAGTTACTGGAGTAGACAGGTACTCCCTAAAGTACTTAAAGACATGTAGAGTCGCAGTATCGCAGTTACAGAAGGACAGAAACTAAAAAGCACCATTTGCACCAGGGGGGTTAAGGTTGACTCCAATATTCTTTTGAAGCTAGCTGTGTATTCAACCTATTACCAAGGGCTAGATAATTAAATGCATGAATATCCAACTAAATTAACTAAGTTAAAATTCAGACAATGCCTAAAAATATTGACAACTGTTTCAGACGAGGAAGAATATGAGAGAAGTATTCTAAACACTCAATTTCAGGTCAAATTAAAAAAAAAATCAGAAAAAAATACCATCAATACAAGGTTTGCCTAGACTCGCACATACAAAAAAAAAAAATCAAGTTTCATTCATCTATTTTATTTAAAMATATCAGCAGAATGAGTCTTCAAAAAATGCATTATTACAAATGTTTGACTTTTATAAGTGCCTGAGAAGGGGGAAAAAAATAGAGCAATCTGACTACAGTGCATTTAGCCATGAGCAGCTAGAGGAACTAATGAACAACATCATTATTTTACTGAAGGGTATGAAGTAGGTGCTTTAGATAAATGGCAGCAACTTAAAATGCGTTTCAGAAGATAAATTCACTTTCTCYCCGTTTACCTGCTAGCGTGACAAATTAAGAAAGAAGAGTACAAAAACAGAGCGGGAGGGAAAGGGCTGTAAAAGCCAACCGAGGTGATGCAACGGGCCCTTATCCAAACAAGTGCGTGAACAGAGGTTGTTGGAAGTGCTCCTAGGCAAATACAAACCTGGAACAGCACGCACGCCTGGCTCCCTGCGAAATCCACCACTCCGGGTGTGCACGAGACCCGCTTGTCCTAAAATCAGGCCCCTTTCCACGCTCGGGGAGTTACGACCGTGGTTGGTGGACTGCTGACATGACCGACATAATATCTGTTACCCCACCACRTGCCGCGTGCTCGAGCTCTCCCTGCTGCCTCCGCTTGGCCCCTTTGCCTACCACCAAAATCACTAGAGAATTAACTTGCGGCAAAAGCAAATGGGCAAGTTCTTTCCCTAAATACATCTTGTTTTAGGGGCTTTTCATGATCACCAAGGAACATATTTACCCTTTCCAAAGAAAGGGTAAACACTCTGCAATAAAGGAGGCCTTTTATGCCTTCTCTCTACACCAAAATAATCCAAGTAAATATTCTTTTCTGGTCAAGAGGCAACATATTTACTTACATACTTACTTACTCCCTGGGCAAACATATTTTTTTAAAGCAACACCTGAGCTTTAGGCTTCAAAATGTCAGGGTATTTTTACACTGGAATCCCCTGTTCCTCACGAGCGCTATTAAAGAAAGTCCACCGTGAAAACAGGTGTCCTGAGATGATCCCCTTTGCGAGGATCAGCTGCTGAAGCGAAACTGATGGAAAACAAGGGCCGATTCCTCTCTGCCCCGGGCTAAGTTTGGGCTACGCCGAAATCTCGCCGAGCTGAAGGGGAAGCTCTGAGGCACCGCGGCGCCCGCTCAGCGCGGGGCTGGCCGGGCTCCAGTGGCGCCTCCCCCAGGAGGAGCCACCCTGAGGCGAAGGAGCTCCCGGCCACAGGGCAACCGGCCGCCACCGAGGGAAGTTTTATGCGGGAAGCGGCCGTTGTGTTTGGTGGCGTTTCGGCAGCTTCTGGCAGCGGGCGCTACGCCGTGCCCGCCATTACGCGGCGGGGGCAGCAGCGAGGCGGGCGGGAACCGCGCCATGAAGGGCAGGGGGCGGCGGGCACGGAGGCGAGCGGGGCGGGAAGCGACGGGGACACCAGCACGGGGGAAAGAGGCGACGACGCCGAGCTCCACCGCCCCTCTTACCCGCGGCGGCTCTGCCTCCTCCTCCCGCGGCCTCCATCACTTCCTCTGGGCGGGCTCGGGAGGCCGCCCCGCTCCGCCCCGGGGGCCGCGGYCCGGGCGGCGGTGGCAGCTCCGCGGGCAGCCGGCTTTTGCTGACAGAAAAAGCGGCCGTCGAAAAGCCCGGAAGGGTTTTTGGGAAGCCAGAGGCCGAGCGAGGCTGTGGTAAATAACCGAGCGGTGGTGGTTAACGCTCCAACATGGGCGTTCACAAATAATTAGGCCTTAACAGAAGGTCTGAGCTCACCTGTGCATTCGCTGRGGAGAGCTGCGGTGACAAACACCACACAGGTGATGCCGCTTTCCTTAAACTCAGGTGGCAGAGGGCTGACAAGGGAAAACAAGTGCAAAAATGACAAGTTTACAGCACTCCTTGCCTTGTGCTGTTAAGGATGGCTGTGAGCACAAGCGAGGACTTTGGAAAAGCTGCGAGAGCAGCAGGATGGTTGTTGCTTTAAACCGTAAAGTGGAGGTACAGAGATGGAAAGAATACACACTTGTCAAAAGCAGAAAATAGAACCTAGGCGTCAGGACTCCTGGTAGCCATCTTCTTATCCGCGAAGGTTGTACAGTTGCTTAATAATTTATAAAATAGTAGGCACAGTCATCAAAGTGAAGGATGGCGAGCAAATGGAAAGGCTGCTTAGAGGAAAGACATGCACATACCTGGAAAGTGAAGGTGTTTTCAGTCCACTGGAGACAACATTTGAAAGGAGTGACTTAAGGACATTGCATTACTGGGATTCCTTCTGCTCCCTGTCAGAAAAAAAATCACGTCTGTAACTCAGTCCATGGGTTAGCTGACCACAGTCCCAGACCTGGATATGGCACAGGGATATAGCATAGCTATAGTTGGTATCTATCTCTGTAAATATATATAGCTGATATAGCATAGCTGCATGATGGCTGTTGAATTTTACTGAGGAAATTGTTAAGGTATAAGAAACTACATGAGCCAAAGCCGTGAAAAGCAAGAAAGTGGCATTATTGGGATGGCAATATTAGCTTGAAGAGAAAAGATACTTAAAAGGCCTAAATTAAAAAATAATAATAATAAAAAAAGGCAGGAAATCAGAAAACAACTCAGCAATGCTGAGAATCAGGAATGGCAGAGACTGACCTGTCCTCATTGGGCTGAAAACTTTCTGGCCAGCCAAGACTCAACATATTTCTTACCAGGAGTGACATGCGTGTGCTTGGCTTAGGATTCTGTTGGTTCTAGCTATATCTTGGCATATTGGCTGCTAAATGGCCACTTAAGTTGTTTGCATCCTCCTCTCAGAGTCTCTTTATGCATAGTGAACGATGCCTTAACAAAAGCAATCCGCTGATGGTGGGTTACATCCCTTCTGATAAAGTGCTTTCTCCTTTTATTAAATTATAATGTACAATTTGATATTTTAAAGTGTCCTCACATACTGACTACAGTTTTACTAATATTGCCAGAACTCCAGAACTGAAATGGCAAAAGCCACCCAACAACTTGCCTACATTAATGTTACATATATTATATTTTCCATTATTGCCAAACTGCTGGCTTTGCATCAACAGTATAAGCTGTAGAATAACTAATATAAACACAGGCAACACAGTGGAATATACAGCATGGTCTATCCAAAAAAACTTGAATGAAATTGTGGTTGTTTTTCCATTTACCATTTCTGTGGGGTTTGTTATAGAAGAGGCCATAGAGTAATGTGAGCTTTACACTGAAATGTTTGCCACTTASGGTTTTGTGACATTGCTTTCCGTCTACCTAATTTTCAGTCTTTCCCAGGAGGACCATTTACCTTTATTAGAATGAAAAAGAAAGATAAAGTGTTAGATCCTGAAACTTTTAATTTAAAGTCTCGTAATTCTGTAATTGTTTAATGCTTAATAGCATAAAAGCTTGATTATTCCCTCATCTCATTAAATGTTGGACAGCTTAGATAAAAATTGGAATATATGAAACACTTCCACTTAACAGTTTAACAGGCTGGTCAGTGCCTGCCAATAACAAGAAATAAAAATCTATATGCAAGTAGTAATACAAGAGATAAAAATTAAAGAGCTGTTTCAAAATGAAGGGCCATATTCCAGCGCTTGTTACTTTCAGTACTAAAAAGCCATTCAAGCAGCGGTCGTAGTTCTGCAATGTGGTCAGAATGCATTTGCAGAAAGTATTTTTCTCTTACTCAGCAGTTCAATAATTCTTTTTTTCTTGTCTAGCAGGTACTGCACAGTAAAATGTTGAAGGCAATAATCAAGACCTTCATAACTGATTTTTTTGTTTGTTTGTTTCTTCTTTACCTAAAGATGGATACCATGCCAATCATGTTTGTGTACGGCAAGAAGAAAAACAGACGACGTTTAGCTGAGTCAGCCCTGTCTGTGTTTTGCCTTCAAGTACCCAGGGCTTGGTTTCTTAATTATGGATGGGGAGCTGCATTTGCACAGACCTCAAATATTCAGTGACTTTTGGATCTCGTTATGCACACACAGACACAAATATAAGTGCCAGTGTAAAAGCCACAGTCATGCTTTCTTGAAAATCTCAAGAGCTGCTTCAACATCAGCTAAAGCAATCTTAGGGAAGGGAAAAGGTTTCATTTCTAAAGAAAACTCAGAAGAGCTTCCTAAACAGAAGACTTTTGAAGCCACCATTTTTTTCCTTTTTTTTTTTTTTTTTTTTTGCCCACTTGCTGTAGAAATTTAATACAACTAATGTACATATAGCTACAATGCAATATTATTCTCAAATCAGCAGCTTTGCATTCATGATAAGGGACTAACTATTGAACACAATTAATGATTCATTAGATAGCAGTTTGGAATATTCCCCAAAAAAGTCTTATTAAAGTTTTAGTATCGTATAGTGAAAATACAAACTGATGATCTTCCTTGTTCTGTATTTTTCCTATTCTGCCATTTATGAAAACTCTAAAAAACATCACTGCMGTCTGAATGGATGAAATCTGTTGTTACAGAATGCATGGAGCTAATATCTATGCAAGAATACCTAGTAAAATACAAAGGATTTCACAGAGTTCACGGAGCACCCTTCTCATATATCTGTAAAGTAGCAGTATTGTCCCAAACAGAGCAGTTTCATACTTTGTGGAGAAAATTTAAAAAGGAGGCATAGACCTTACTTCTTGCTTTATTCCTCATGGATGCTTTGTTCACCCTGTAGAGGTAAAGACTGCTTTTTTTTTTTTTTTTTTTTTAATTAATAACATTTACCAAGGTTTTTAAAAATATATAAATCTGAAATGAAGATGACCACCATGTGATCATGCTGTCCAATATCACAGGAAAGGTTTTACTAACTGATCACATAGGAAGAACTGATTGATAAAGATCTTAATAGACATAGGAGAATGAAAATTACAGGATTTTGTATGAAACTCACTGATGTCAGTGGCAAGTTTTGCCTTATTTGAAGCTGGATGCAGTTCTGTGTTCACGCTGTTAGTTAGTCCTTCAGCCTCAGTAGTCCATAAAAGTTTGCAGGTTGCATTAAGGGAAAAATGGATGGTGGAAATGATACCTTTTTATTTAAGAGGCTCCATTAATTCTTCCTTTTCTCAGCACTGAAGCATTCAATGACAGAAGCAGAGYTTATAAACTCAGATCCCATTCAGCCACTCAATCCAAGAGATTTCTTCAGAGGCTTTTTCTTAAGGTCTTGTAATTACCGGCTCCCCTGAGACTATATAGTGGCTTTCTATTCTTAGTTTATTTCTCCTCTCTCCCTCACACACTTCCTACTCACAACAAGACCCAGCGAAACCCTCTGCCCACATAGTTGTAATTCCCAAGAGGACTTTCATATGCTTGTGTTTTGGGCAGTGACAATGTGCATATGTTTTGATTTCAGGCCCCCTGTTGGTTCTTGCATTTCAGTTTAATGAAGACAGAGCAGCTATTAAACCCACCGGTTTCAGCGAGTTATAACACAGCTTCTAGATTTCTTCTGGAGTTCTTGCACGCATGAGATTTTRTCACAGTGCTATGCATTTGTGGATATCACCAAGCTTTAACAAATTACATATTTTTTTTTCTTTCTTTCCTTTTTTTTTTTTTTAAATGTAAGGTACTCAGACTCTTTAGTAAGTCTCAAAATCACTGAATTAGGTAACTGCTATGATGAGGAATGGCAAAGTTGTCTCAATGTGTAAGTCAGTCTAAGTACAGTGAAAATTGACTACTGAGTGAAAATTAATTCCTCTTGATTAAAGTAAATTACAACTGTGCACAAAATAAAACATGATATCCATAGAGATATAAAAAAAAGTGATCCCATTGTTCATACAAGTAAACAAAATTAACTTTCCAAGGCAAAATGCTGCTGGATATTTTTCAAAGCTTTAAGTCATTCCTGTTAAATGCTATTACATGTGTGAAGAAAGAAAAAAAGCCTGGGCAATCCCAGTCAGACTTATATTCTTAATGCAGACGTGGAACAACTTTCAGTTTGAAAAAAATRCATGAATCAGAGACCATTCCTGTCATTTGAATCCAGACACATTTTTGTTTTATGAAAGCTTTTCCTTTGTCCAATAGGAACTTGGAAGCTTYGAAGTGTTGCTTGAAAAAAGAAAGGGTGCCTTGAATTGAGGACGTTTGCCACAGATGCAYGATCTGTGATGCTGCTGTTTGGAACTAAAAGACAATCAGAATTTACCTGCTGAAGCATAGATTTCATGGATTCCAATTCCAACACTGTGGTTGTAACTGGTAAGATTTTTATTTTTTATTTTCCTCTTCTTTTAGCTAGATATGGTATGCACACACGCATGATCTTTGTCATAAACATTTCCCTGGAGGGAAACACAGTAGCAAATGGTCACAGTTAAGAATTCCAAATGGGAAATAACTTGTTCTTCTGCCTTCCTAAGAAAATCAGATGCATGTCAGAGGAAACAGACCGCACTCTGCCCTCTTTATTGCCATCCAGTTTGGTTTGTTGCTCCTTCTGTCCTTGTTTTAATCTTTGTTGACGTTCTGTCCGATCCAAACCGCGTAGCTCAAGGCACTACAGGCAAGTATAGATAAAGCTTCCCCGAAAGGAGCTCTGAAGCAAGAAAAACCACGTTGCATCACAATGTCACATAGTCAGCGTCCAGAATTAGAGCAACACATGGCAAATCTCCGGGTCTCAGTTTCATGGCAAGGTAAGGGAAATTTAAACAGGAGATGCTGCCTCATCACTCCTACCCTAGACGATTAAATTTATATATATCAAAAGAACATGCCTGAACATGCAGCCTAAGGGACCAAATTTGGAGTTTTTCTTGCTGGCTGTAAACTAACACTGAATCACAGTGGCAGAACCACCAGCTAGAGACTTCTGATCTTTAAAATGTTAAAACTCTTAAGGAATGCTGCTACTTGCTGTTCCTCCTGTTGCCACTGGCTCCTCTAAAGGCAATCATTACACGTATCTTGACATGTGAGTTGCTGGATAATTTTCCACTGTGGGTCATCCAAGGACACAGGAATGAGGTTGAAGCTACATCAAAGAGATTTGAATCTTGCTGTTTTCAATTAACTTCCCCCCCCACCCTTTTTTAATAGCTCCAAGATGGGCAGAACGAGCTTCGCTCTCCAAAAAGAACTGCAGTCACTTGGAATAGGAAAGCAGGAGAGAGCAAGAGATATTTGATAACCTCTTAAAAGACTGACAACCTCATTCTCCCTCTTCTACAGTATTTACCATACATTAGCACCTTGTTAGTTTTTTTCCTCCCTTTGTACAGCTATTTAGGTGCATAAATCTACTTGTTCAAACAGTTTTAGACTAGTGTCTCCCATTGGACCCACAGGTGCATCTTTAAGTTATTATAGGAATTATCACAGGATGTCTCTGTCATATTTTCACCTGCTCATAATAGAAATGTGCTGGCAGTGAGCCCAGTTTGTTATAGAGCGCCTAATAATATTCAACTAGTTACCTCTCCAAGTGGTTGCATGTATTTCAGTCTTTTCACAGAACAGCTTTGCCCTAAGCAGAGGTTTCTTATGGCCACCACTAACGTGCATGTATTGCATTGTGAAAAGAAATATATTTTTTCTTTTGARCATTTTCACTCAATATAAAGTGCTGTATCTTCATTAGCTTTAACAACGAGAAATGAGTCTATGATACAGACTGTGATCTGAGAGTATTTTTAACATGAGTTCAGTGGTATGTCTGTAGCTGATGATCCTACTCCAAAACCCTTATTTATATGTCCTAATGTCTCCAATACATTTACCAACTGCAATTAACCTTCTCTTACACGGGAGCCTTCATGTGTATAAAGACTGTAGGAACAGTTGTGCATACATATGAAAAAGGACATACCATTCTCTTGAGTATTAAAAAGGCCAAATACTATTAAAAAGGTCAACTCCATAACTCAAAATATCACAATTAAGAACAAATAATGTGRGTGTACATACGTGTCAGACACCTAACCTACAATTGCACAGCAAGCATAGGTTAAAAGCACTTTTCTTTGTCCTTAGGTTTTGGTCCCTTTAGACAGTATCTGGTGAATTCTAGCTGGGAAGCTGTGAAGGTAAGCATTAAAAAAGGAGGGAGGTGTGTAATTTTGTGGAAATCCAAATATAAGCTGTTTTCTGTCTTACCGTTCCCTCCAAGTAAGTTACTTTTTTGTGTCATTGAATAGAACTGTGCCTCTTAGAACAGACTCCCCATTGTGGAGAAAGAAGAAAATTAAGAAATCAAATGTATTGTTATTGTAAGAATGTTTAGTGATTTAAGCACTTTTCAAACTATTCTTCTTTTTTTTTTTTAAGGGGCTATTTTCCCTCTGGGTGCCATGTCCACAAATAATGCATATGCCAGAGATTATCTCTTCTAAAACTTGGTCATCCTATATTACAAATCATTTTATCATGCCTATTTATGGCGATTTCCTTGTTGTGCAGCCATAGCCTATGGAGTTTTTACTGCCTACTTCAGGGACCCGTAAAGCATKTCAGGTGCCTTCATATCCTGCTTTTACCTTTCACTTTCAAGTGACAGAGAAGTCTACAGTTAAATAGAAAACAAAGTCATTCAGATATTTCTCTCTCTCCACCTCGGCCCTTTGAGTAGCAACCATGCATATACATATACATAAAACATGTATGGGATGGAGCAGTCTTGAACACTCCCATATATATTAGAAGAAAGTCACCTGTATCATACAAAGACATGATTGGGATATCTGGCTTTCATCATCGATATCAGTAACAGCAACATTCAGGGTAATAAAACTGGATTGGAAGACTCGTCCAAAATCTGCRAGAAATAGCAGAGAATATTGGTGAAAGTGGAAAGCAGGAAATTGAGAGGAACCTGAGGGGACTGTGGTCTACTGGGGGGAGCTGATAAAAGCCTGTAAATAGTTCCCTGGTATGAAAAAGGCAGCTTCAGAAACTATCAGTCATGATAGAAAGGAGTTCACCCTACAGTACTTTACTACAAATTCTGGTGGCAGCTGCAGAASTTCTGACTTAAAAGTAAAGTGCAGCCAAGCCAAGGCTATTGAAAAACAAGGAGCCGGTAGTTTTTTCCATAGACCAAAGCTATAGCTACTCCGCTAACCCATAAAGATCTTCTGTGCTAGCGTCATTTGGTGGAGGATGGCAAGTGAAACTTAGAGATTGGAAGAATAAATCTATTACCCACTCAAAGTCATGAGGGATATTATCCCTCTAGGCTAACAAGAATCAAAAATACTGCTTTATACCTTTCCACACCCCAGTCATCCCAGGAGATCCATAAATTATCTCAACTCTAACTTGACATGTGCCTAAACCACAAATATTTGTCAGTTGACAGTGTTCTTTCTCATTATCTCCTGATTTCTGTTGGTTCTAATTTTGGATGCAATACCATCTTCTTCTGGCTGAAAATAAAGCGTGTTCTTTATCTTCAAGCAAAACAGCCTGGAGCTGAAGTGCACTGATGAGATGAGGTTTTGGTAACAAAGTCATGTGCTTGCTGTGCCAGGAAGTTACGTAACGATGGCTGCAGCAGTCCATGATGAAACAGATGTTAGCCCTTGTGTTTGGAGGATAACAAATTCATTTCCCTCTGATGTGACACCCTGGGCATGGAATTAATTTGTATTTATACTGAGGATGCTGCTTTGGTTTCTCATTCCCTATCCGAGGTGGTCAATCCAGACAACTCAGTGAAATCTGCTGCAAATGAGAAAATATTTCAAATTTTGACAGGCTAAATAGCAAGCTAATATTATTGTTCCACTGGCCTTGTTCACTTGAGTAGCTCTGTGGTCTTCAGGAACCTTATATGGCTATATAATTGATAGCAAAAATTGTTTACTTACATCTGGAAATAATCGTCCCTTGGCTTGGAGTTCCTGCCTGGATCACTGAAGTGACACAAAACCCTCCTGCTGAGGCTCTTCTGTGAGGACCATGCAAGAGTACTCAGAGTCTTCATCACGAAAGGACTGAAGAGTCAGAGCAGTGCTCCTGAACATGATTACTAACACACAATGTTTATGTAGYACTATCCAGAATGTCACTAATTACTACCTCAACATGAACCGGGCTTTCATCAAAACCCTGCTTGATAACAGGCCAATCTCACTGCTATTCTAACAGTGGCACTCAACATATTAATGCACRTCCCAGAAGAGTCCTCCCACGCAAAATATCCCAAACCCTGCCAAAGTCTGCATTAGCAGCCCCTAGTTCTCTGAGCATGGTCTCACCCTCCATGCTTTTTGCAACGGAGACTTCTTGGGCCAGCAGCAATGGCTCTGCTTTGTGGGCAATGGGACCCACTCTGCCACAGATCTGCTTCTGGGGATCCCTGTTGCCAGCTGCTTCCCACCCCTGGCACTCTGCCCTCTCATGGGGTCAACGGTCTTCCCAAACCTCTCTTTTTGCTGCAGGAAGGATCAGAGACTGATCCAAGCAGCAGAGCACAGCCCAKTCCATAAGCAAACCCCCCTGTGCTTTTCATGGGGCACTCAGAAGAAAGGTCCTGTGATACTGTTTCTCTTATAACCTGATTGTTAGTCTGTTTTTGGTGGATACACCGATTTCCATTTCCTAACATTCCAGGGAATCAGATGATAAACACTAACAAGCTTCTACATATTTTTGATTACTCCTCCTGCTTTGGAAAGTGTTCTTATCCTGAAACTTTCAATTTCTTCATGATGCTACATAGCAACGCACAGTCCTGCCTTGCCTGTCTTATCATATGGAAATGAAATATTCAGAGCATGTGAAGAGCATCTGCTGTGTTTGCGTGAATCCAAGTTCTCATCACAGCACACGATGATTCACGCACAAGGCATCCGTCAGCGTCACGTCCATAGATTTCTCATTGCGGAGCAAGTCGCCACTTGAGAGCTCAGGGAGAAGGATAATCAAAAGGAACTGAAAGCACAGGTGAACCTGCCAATTCAGGGTCACTGATAAAACCTTCAGAGTTTTTATAGGCACTTTCACATAGCCCAGCATGAGTGTCTAGCACTAGAGAGACAGCTTCTTTTCCAGAAGCCTGTCTCACTCAGTTTTTTATGGTTCTCATAACTCCATTCACCTGAAATAGCCTCCTAAAATATGCACAAAAACTTCACTAGCAGCGCCTTTTAACTCCTGAATTGCAGAGAATTCTCTCTCTAAAGGAAAACACCAAGAATATTTACTCTGCATTTGCTCACAGGTTGCACTGAGGCTCTGTGATGTGTTAGCACTTCAGCACCTCATGGGACCCTCAGAATCTCAGGTCTTTTGAATTATTTAGTTTATATTCCAGAGTGATGAACCCACCTACCTAATAACCCTTGATCTCATCCTGTTTCTATGTCTTCTCCAGAAACTCTTGTGMTGTTTACCAGTGTCTGGCACTTGGTAGTTAAATATAGTATCAGGGCAATCTACGATCAAGGTCAAAGTCCCCACTTAATAGGACATAAATGTAAGTCGAGTGGCAACATTCATAGTAATTAAACTGTAGGTGCAAAGAACAGGTCACATTTCCAACCACTTCTGAGAACTACATTTGCTATCAGGAGATGAGGATCATATCTCTGCGTGCAATTTTTCATCCAGCCGCTGACCATGTGGTCTTTGGAAATTTGTCATTTAATCTCTCTCTCTCCCCTTTAATTTCATCATCTGTGAAACCAAGACCATTTTGCCACTTAGCTCCTCCTTTTCTGTTCTGAAACTTTCCTACATTTTTTAAAGATTTTTAGAAGTATCTGCAGGATTTAAAATAAGCTTTGCTTGCAACATACTTGCAGAGTTCTGGCTCAACTGATACTTTTATTTTTCTTCTTTCTGAACCCAACACAGGTGTTTTGAAATGAAGTTCAAAAACTAACACATGAAAACCAACGAAACGAACAAAAACCTTCCTGACGACAAAATCTTACAAACTCACTGAAGACTTCCGGAGGTTTCTAAATCTTCAAGATACTTGTAGTATCTTTGTGTAACACATAACCACAGCACCAGAGCTCAACTGTTCTATCCAGATCACTCTTTTCTAGGGAGAATTACATAGAAAATGAGCCAGAACTCTGATGAACTAGGACTATGACCAATTTGCTCATTAAGAAAAGCCCTCTAAAACCTTTGTCCACTTTTAAAATCACTTTTAAAATAAAGTCACCAGTGTGGGCTCTGTTTCTGGATGCAGTTGTCTATTGCCATCAACTGATGCATCTTCAGTCTCTTATCTGGGATGCTAAAATGATTTTGGTTAAGGCTGAGACTTACTTGAGACAAGTAACAGCATTTTTGTTTCTTCCACGTTTGCCTATTGCCAGACGTAGTGGGGCACATGTCCATGGTTAGGGTTCTCAGACACCAAAAATAACATACTTTATTGACTACATGCTAAAATTACTTAGGATATAACAAATTTTACCTTCCTTTGATACACATTCTCAGCACTTTTCTATTGCCAAGCTGCTGCTTTTGTCCTGCACAAGGAGTGTCCCTGGATGTTCCTCCTTTGACAAGTGSTGATAACAGAAATGAACTTGGCTGTGGCAATGCAGAGAGCGCCAGAGAACAGCCCTTCCGTTGGATCCTGCATCCTGCAATGAAGCTGCAGTTGAGTCCTCTAAGCCTTACAGTTAAGAAGGAAGAATCTCGTTAAATGCCAAAATTAAATGCTGAAATCAAACGTTAATTGTGAACTGGTTGAGGTTTTCTTTTTTGGAAGCCCAGCCTGAGTACCGCGTTCTTGAGCGAGATGATGCAACAGCCTCTCAAAGGCTGTCAGTGCCCAGAGGAAAAAAAGCCTGGCAGTGTTCTCTCAATGTGTTTACTTCCCTGCAGGCATCGTTTCCTTGCTTGTGTCAAATAGTTTATTGAGCACAGCTAATCAATGTTTCCGCTGACAAGAAAATTGGAACAGTTTATATAGGAAGCCAGTGTTGAAGGGCAAATTTCCCAGTTAGCTCAGCAGAGAACTGCGGCCCCCATCCACATGGGTAGCCCTGCTGAGAAGTGGAAGTTTGGGAACACAGTGACATAAGAAAAAAGTTCCAGGTTTCTCAGTGCAACCTGATAGCCCCTGCTGCAGATTTCTTGCTCTCTGTCCCCCTTACGATCTCTGTCTGTGCACTCTGGGAGCAGTCTCTTTCTCTACATGCAATAGGGATTTTTCATGCACCATCTACCTGTTCTGGGACAGACCCCTCTRCCTCTGTGTTCTTTCTGCCTCCTGCCTTTGCAACCACAGCCTTTCTGCTCACAACTGTAGTTCATTAACCCCAGTCCAGCATCAAAATATTTTCAAGTCATTTCTGTGCTCGCCCTTGGCAAGTCTCCAGAACATCTGCAACCGCCTGGCCCATGTCTTGCTTTAGAGGATGCGTTTGTTTCTCTCCCCTCAGCCCTGGGCACAGGATTTGTTTCCTTTGGGAAAAGGCCACTTAGAGAACTTCAACTCTACACACGTGATAGAGAAATATCATCCCAAAAGGTGACGTTTTCTTATTTACTAGAGAAATATAGACAAGAAAGACCAGAAAACCAGAAAGAAATTAAATCCATTCTAAACATGACCTTACTCATGTCTACAGGATCATGTGCAGCAGAGGCAATCTGCACCAGTTAAAGTCAAAATATTTCATGCATCTTAACAGCTAGTGTGAATTCTCCCATTTGTGTCTTTTCAGAAGCACAGCTTTGACTCCTAGACCTTTCAGAGGAACAGCTCTTACCTGTATCAAAGCTCAGGTGTTTTCACTGTGAAGCTCTATTAAGCAATCTTGTTTTTCTTTTTTCCTGGTTTCCCATGGACCAATCTCTAAGGAGTATGAATTACAGAAACCAATTCCACATATTGGAGACAGAACATCTCTTTGGAAAATACAAGGGCTTACATGGAAATGACATTAGTAAAGTGTCACATTTTACTTCCTTTCATTAAAAAAAAGTAGAGAGCAAGAGAGCAAGTTACCACAAGACAGTTGGATTTCATTGCAGACCAGTGTTTGGGAAATATGGGATTAGGCAGCATTACCTCACTCTTTCATATGTTTTCACAGATGGATCAAAGTCTGGTTTCTTTATCACAGTCTGAGAAATCCACTGCTCTTACAAGTCCGTGCTGGTTTTTCACACAGGAGCTGTCCAAGCAAGGCCTTGGTAAAAACATAGATCTGCACATTATGCAGCTGCCAGTGGTTTACCAAAAAGCAAAGGAGCAGGTCCTCAAAATATGGACAACGCTTCAGCCACTGGTGAGTAACTGCAGTTAGGTAAATTTTCCTCTGAATTTCTAAATAATATTGAGAGGATCTTTAGAAAGATCTCCAAAAGAGTATTGCACAAGACATGCATCAAGACAGCTCTGTAAAGTGACTAAAACTGTGATAAAGGTTTCAGGTTGAAATCAGAGCACGTGATAATTAGCAGGCTGGTTTAACCTTGTGCCATTTAAATAGCAAATTGCATGCAGAACAAAGGAAAAAAGGGTCAGCCATGACTTGCAAAAAAGATCCTGTAGCTCTGAAGTCTTCAGCTAACTAGACACAACAGAAAACAAACAAAAGCACTATTTTGTTCTCATTTATAATCTGTTATCAAAGTTCTCTTTAGGCAGGAACTCCAGCAAGCCTCCCTACCTTGAAGCTAGTGTTTCACATAATGCTTGGTGCTATTGCGTTATGTGTTTTTAAAAGCAGGTCTCGTTTTTAATTTCCTGTTATTCTCTCYGGTGGGAAAAAAAGCTTGCTGTTCACGTTGGGCTGGCCTCGTCCGCCAAAGCAATCATCCTGGAGCAGTGTGGGAAGAACAAAGGCTACCAGGAGAAGGATGCTTGTGGGTTTCACCCAGAGGGTGGCTGGTGCATGCTGGATGGTCCAGAAAAGATTGAATCTACAATTAATATGAAGACTCTCTGGAAAAACACTTCAGTGGAAGGCATTGATATCATCTTTTCCAGAGATGCAGGAAGGTAAACATTCCATATCAGGGGGCTCCATAAAAACAGAAATAATTCGATCCGCTTCTTTCACCTGGAAGGATCTTTACGACGACTTTTTCCTCCAACCAAAATCACTTTAAAGCTTAATCTTCAGAGGACACAAGCGTAAAATTGGGACAAATTTAAATTTTATGTAAAGAAGCCTTCTTTGAAAAAATGCAGCCTGTAGATATTTTTCCATAGATGTGTGAATTCCAAAGAAACAAGTTTCAACACAGCACACCCTGTGATTAGCAACTCCAGTAGTCTTGAACTATTAGAGAGCCTGAAAGGAGCACTGACTGGTAGCAGATTTTAATCTATCTGTTTTTCCCACCTGGGAGGGATACAAAACAAATACCTACATGGAAGAACAGAGCATTTGCAGGCATCCATGGAAAGATGTCTGCGATCTCATTAGGTGTTTGGTGCTGCTGAAGCATTTTTCTCTTAAGCAACTTTTCACTTAAAAAGAAAACAAAATAGAAAAATACTTATTAAAAAAATTGGAAAACAGTTAATCTTAACCTTTAGTTTCAGGTTTTGGGTCTCCAAATTAAAAACAGAGATATGGAACAACCTGCAGGAAAGATTTAAGCAATCCACTAATGCCATGGATATAGTTCCAGTGGGCTGCACTAATTTTTTCTTCTCACTTAGCTTGCAGCAGCCTAAAAAAACCCGCATATGCTGAGATCTTGTATTTAGTTCATCCTGGCCATATGTCTGAGAAACCATACCATCAGATAAAGAATATTTGACTCTCAGACTTGTTTTATTTCTGTATTTCCTTTATTCACTAAACAAATAAGTTTCTAATAATTTCCTTAACCAGATCTGGTTTGGCTGCTTAAAGTACATTTAARTGTAATCAGGTTTCCTGTCCTTAATGCAGGTTGCTGTTTCTCTGTTGGTACTGCAGGTACATCTGTGATTACACCTATTACACCTCTCTCTACTACGGCAACGGAAGAGCAGCTTTCATCCATGTGCCTCCATTATCCAAATGGGTAACTGCAGACTTTCTAGGAAAAGCATTACAGATAATTATCTTAGAAATGTTAAAACAGTGTGGGAAAGAAGGAGAGTAAGAAAGATCATTTAGAGAAATTACTAACATTTTAGAATACCTTAACTCATAAATAAGGCATCTCTGTAGATTTAAAACTCTTACTTAGATAAAAACGTTTTATATTCTGTGTTATTTTCGGTGAAATCTTCTTACAGAAAGCAAACAGCTATTTACATCTCTTGTGCAAAAAGCTTGAGAATAAAACAAATGATTGACATTTTGTACTCCTAAAAGTGATAAAACATGGTAAAACTGGACTTCAATTATGCATTACATTTTCTAAAATCCTAAAAAAAAAAAAAAAACGACGAAAAGAAATCCAGGTAAAGTTGAATCCTGATGGCTTGAAAGACAGACAATCTCACAGCTGTGCTGCCCTTCAGCACGAGATGGGTGTAACAGAAATCCTCTCCCTTCCCAGGCGGTGAGATACTCCACAAAATGCCCACTTCAAAACTAAATAAAGGGCAGAAAACAAAACACATGCAGGGACACTGGACACTATTACATGAAGCTTTGAACCATCTCTGAGCAGCAGCACATGCTGCTGTCCATATCGGCAGAGTGTGAAACTTAGAAGCAAGAAACACCACTACTTAGCCCAAATTCTTAATGCCTGTCCCAAGGAAAAGAGCACAGCACAGAGCATAGGGAACGCAGCCGTTTAGTGAAATGGGTCATGGCTATTCAGGGATTTACAGAACGGAACAGCTCCACTTGTCCCAAGAAAGGCAGTTCCTGAAGCACTGTGTTGTGGAATGTGTCATGGCATGTTAGTCTTCTTACAAAATAGGCACCAAATGAGATCTCAAGCTGTAAAACTTGGATCTGGACAGTGAGAGGAGACTTCTGTGCCTCTCCCATGCCAAGGGAGGTTCCTCCACGTCTCGAACACGGCTAAATACAGAAGTACACGACTGTGCTGCCAAGGTGGGTGAGAGAAGGTGAGGCAAATCCTCATTAGTGCACAGGGCACTTCAACATGTGTTCTCCTAAGTAATTCTGCCAGTAGAATGACATCGATGAGATAAAATTAGCAGGTGTTTTTCAAAAACAGCCACTGGAGCTGGTCAGCAGCAGCGCAGTGAAGACATCTGCTATTTCTCCAAGGCAAACATAGCCCCTTCCTCCAGCATCACGTCAGGAGGAAGGACAACAGCCAAACCTGAGCGCACGGAGACCTGGGCAAACTTGAGGCCGCCACGGCGCCTTATCTCAGGGAACACTTGGGTGCCAGGTCAGTGGCACWGGGAAGCCCAACATCCTGCTGCTTTTTTTGCCACTGGCTTTTCCAGCAACCTTTGCAAAAYACAGATAACCATGCGCTGCGTGTCTGAGCGCCTGCTCTGTGGACTCCCTTAAGTGTAAACAAACGGACTTATTTTAAATAGATAAATAAAAATCCTTATCTTACTCAAAGGAAATACCTACTGCAAAACCAGACTCAAGAGTCCCATCAAAAAAGGAGCCACGAGCTCAGTGCCGTTAGACCAAAACAGAGCCTGGATTTCAACACAACACAATGGCAGTACTGACCTCCTCTACGATATATTCTATCAGTTAAATAGGGCCCAAAGGATGGAGAGGGCCAGGGGAAGGGGGAGCCAAGAGATTTCCTCAGGGTTCTGCAACTTGTTTGGCTTTGCATAGTGAGCAACAAAGTCAGCAGCAGACAAATGCATACAGAATTCTTTTATTTAACTTAAATCATGTAGTACTGAAACTACTAGAAAAAAGCAGAGTAAGAGAAACTAAAGGAGCCTTAGCTTCAGCCATTCAAAATAGACAAAGTTTCTTTTTTTTCATAATGTAAAGAATCCCGAGTATATCGCAATAACAGGAATAAATTCTTACAACAGAATATACAAAAACATTTTGAAATTGTTTTTATCTACTGATTCATTTTAATATAAACACAGGAATTTCTTTAGGAATAATTTATACACAGCAAGTCTTTTTATGTAATAAATTGGCCATGTTATTGTTTAATTTTCTTTTAAAAAATTTAAACAAGAAAACTTGGAAAACGTCGTGTTTGCAACTGCATCCATTCCTTAGCACTTTCTCATTTTGTTTTTGTCCCAGAGGTAGACAAACTCTGGCCAATCCTTTCATCTCAAACCTCACTGGTTTAGAAAACAGAAGAGCTGGTTTTTAAACAGCATCCAAACCCTCATAACCCTTCAAAAATGCCGAAAGTCAAATTCAGGGGTGGGGGGGAAGGAGAGAGGAGGGGAAGGGATCTTCAGCATTCTTAAATAAAAATAAATAGGGATCCTACTTTGTTCATTTCCACAAAGCTCTAAGCGGTGTTCGGGACGCGCAGAGGCTGCGGCCACCTTGCAAAGCAGCAGGAAGCTGCAGGGAGCTCCCCGCAGGGATCACGGAAACTCTGTGTTCGGCACTCGCCTCTCCCAGCCGGCATCAAGATGATCCCACCCCAGCCAGAGGGCCGCGGAAGACCAGGATGCTGAAGATACAGAACATTGCCCCAACTTCCTTATCCATCCGCTAGATCCCGGGACACGAAGCTCGGGTAGGGGGAGCGGGACGAGCCGTGAATCGGACACGTCTGCCATCCTTTTTGGCATATTGCAAAGCTAGCTAGTGAACTGGTACCGTCAAAGAAAGGAAAGGAAAAACTYGTCACACGCAGACATACCCACGCACAGGCACAGAAAACTGCCCTTAAATTATATTCTAGGCATTTATAAACTGCAAACATTTTATAAAATTATTCTATGTACTTACAAAATGCAATGAAACATTGAATTAGTTCTTGTAAACCAGATCTTCGTCAACTGACTACCCGTAATCTACTGGACTTAGAGCCCTATGGAAAATGCTAATGGATTCCTAGCCAACGTAACGCACACGGAAAAGCTGAGCACGCATTAACACACACACAAACCCGAGGGAGTCTTAAGGGACTCGCAAAACAGGCTGACTGGAAGGTGAGACTACAACGCACACAGACCGGTGCTGACAACCATTCAGCTTGGGGCATGGACCTACCACCCTACGGAGCTACCACCCCATGGAGCTACCACTCTACAGAGCCACCACCCTACGGAGCCACCAACCACGGAGCTACCACCCCATGGAGCCTCCGCCCCACGGTGCCACCGCCCCGGCTGGCAAGTCCAGAGGTTCCACGCACCGGCGATGAGAAGGATGACACCTGAGCTCTGTCACTGTCCCCACACCAGGCTCAGGAAACTACCTCCAACTTCTGCCGAGCCCTGTGACTTTGTTAATACCTATTTCCGCCACCTTTTTTTCACTTGTCTTCACACAAACGCTTCTCAAGTCTGATTTACTGCCCTGGCTTATAATTCCAGAGGCYGCTACCCATCTCTAAATACCAATTTTCTGAAGCGAGGCGTCCTTTGAAGCCCTCCTAGTTACAGTTCTGTATCTTCAGCACCCCTGGCCACTGGTGTTTTTTCTACACGTCGCCCCTCTCCTTGTCTGCACAACTGAGCGTGGCTTAAGCTGCAAAGTCTGGCTCTGAGCACTGCTTAGTGAGGAGTGGATCCCTTGCACCCTCCCCCACTGTTGTTTCGCCCAGTGACTAAAAACACCGTTGRCAAACAAAATAACAGGAAATGAGTGTCACTTGGACTAATGGAATGAAAAGGTTTCTATATATAACTATAGATATGAATGTATATATAGATATATATGCATGGAGTTAGAGCAACGAGAGGAGTGTTGTTCGCTTCGACTCGGATTGTGCCGGACACCYGTGGGCGGCCCCGGGCGGCCTGACGGCGGTTCCGGCCGGGCACGACTCGTCCCGGGCAAACGGGGCTTTTCCAATTACTTTTCCAGGACCGCCAGGAGCGTCGGTGCGAAGGGCTCCGGAGCAGAAGCCACAAGCAGCAGGGCCTGGGCCCGGCCTGCCCTGGGGCTCTCCTCCAAACCCGCCTCTGTGCCGGCTTTATCGCCCCCCCAAGAGGGCAGCTTCACTTAGCAGCAGCCGACACCTCTGTGGTTACGTATGAGCCACCTTCCTTTGCAACCAGACCACCTTCTGCGCCACCGAAAGGCTTTAAAACRCGAGCCAGATGAGAACAAGGCCCGAGTACCAAACCAGAGTTTCCTGCTCCCCGCGGTGATGCCAGCTTGGTCTGCTATTGCATTCAAACAGCTTGGTACCACTTGTCAAAATGCTGGTTTTCAGGGCTGGGTGGGCTTTTGTTTTCAATTTATAAGCAAATTGGATTACTTTAACTTTATTCAAACATAGCTAAAGTTCTAAATAAATTTTCCATACCAGACAAGCCAGTGGTCTCAGGGAAGAACAACATTACAAACCATATTATGACTGTATCAAGCCAACATTAGTTCTCAGTTGTTCACATGCATAAACATCTTGATTTACTGTCAAAAGGAAGTCTGCATGAAAAACCCATGTGAATAAAGCTATTCAAAATGCACAAAAACACAGCAACAACAACAACAAAATAAAAGCTATAGAAACGAACAGAACAAAAAGGAATTAAGCTTGAACTGCAAACACAGAACGCGATGGTATCATGAAGGTGGTTTGGTCCAGGAGAGCTGACTGTCATCACACATGCACACTTCTAGTCACAAAACTGCTCTTCACTGAAGTGCTTTTTGAAATGCTTATYCTGATGGGTGCTACGGTGTTAGTGTTTCTTCCTAATGCGCTTTTAAACCACCTACATACAATTATAAAAACCAATAACTTGGACAGTTTTAACAAAACCCTCCTAGCGAGCTGAAAGATCTGAGGATCTCCAGTTGTGGTAATCAATATGTGCAAGAGAGGGGAAGAGTCACTGATCCAAACGGCCACAGGAAGCTGGTAAAATTGGGAAAACAAAAATAACTGGGGGGAAAAAAATCAAGAAATTCTGTTGATTTTCCAGGGCTAGAGCAAAACGCACCCCTCAAGGACTCGCTGCAGCTCTTCCCCACAACGCTGTGTGTTCAAGGGGCCACATGCGACGGGGAGCAGCCAAGCACCACATTATTCAGATGCCACAACCAACACCTGCACCAACAGCTGCCAGAACTGGAAAAAGAGAAACATTATCCAGCATGCGGCTGGCCAGCTCGTGTGAGGACCGTGTGCTTGTAAACCGGTTACACGCTGTCAGAGGGCAGTTAAAGT